ATGCTGATTTAGTGCTCAAAAAAGATTTCCTATTATTATTATTATCATTAATGTTGAAATTAGTTGTGCTGCTGAATATTTTTGTGGAAACTGTGATACGTTTTTTCAGGATTCTTTTATTAATAAAAAATGTAAAAGAACAACAATCATTTGAAACATAAATGTCTTTACTGTTACCTCCGATTAGTTTTATACATCCATGCTGAATACAAGTAATTTCTTTAAAATCATACTGATCCCAAACTTTTGAACGGTAGTGTAGATAAAGTCAAACTATTAAAACAGAAAACAGATGAGGAAAAACTATAGAAAAGGGAGAAGCAGCAGCACAAGAGCAGCTTCAAACGTCTCATTCATCACTCACTATACTCTTCATTGATTGGGGATTTCCTGGGGATCACTGGCGTGTGATTGGCTGGCTGTGGAGCTCAGGCTGCATGTGGCTCCATAGCAGCAAACACAAAGAGTGAGGGGCATCAAAGAGCACAGAAGCACCCATTCACATTACAAAAAACAGAGAGACTTCAGAATTACAGCATACCAAATCATTAAAATACCTTATAATACTGTTTAGAATGCAGTAATGCCACACACTCAGTATCCACTTATGCCAGATGAAAGCTCTCCACGACTGTAAGCGCTGGATTACTTCACAGAGCTACTGTATACTCCATAAGATCAGCACAGTCTGCTTTCATAAAAAAAAAAAAAAAAAAAATCAACAAAATTGAAAAGGTAGATCCAATATTAGACAATTACAATGGATTTGATTCACAATGGAGAGGACGCAACTGCAGGAAAAGCTTTTAAAAGGGAAATGAATACAGGGAGTAAATGAAGATGAATGTTCAAAGACTTATGCAAATTAACACTCTCCAGGATTAACGGTTCCAGCTGGAATAAAATATTAACACCTACAGAACCTTGCTGTGCTGTCACTCAGAGAAACTGTTAAATATAGCCTCCATCCTTCTGCCTTCGACCAGGATGCCACACGGCAAACGCAACGTTGTGCAGAACAGAGCTTTAATTTAATGAGCACTCTGGCACATATGTTTTAATTACAGACGCTGAGGCATACATCATTAAAGTCACTGAGCGGGAACAGAGAACCTCCATGAGTGAGTGTGCTTGTGTTCGGGATGTGCAGTAGCTCTATGTGTACGTGTGTGTGTTTAGATCCCGCTGCTTCCCTATATAATCAGGATATGTCACGGCTGCATCACACCAAACGTTATGATCAGATTACATGCTTTTGTCAGACTTCATGCGAGAGTCTCTTGTCTGCTGCCTTGTTTGTCTATCTCCTGCCTGCTGTGAGCGAGTCCAGCCCGAAGCTTCCTGGAAACAGCATCACACAGGACAGATTAGATGGCAACAGGTATGCAGTGAGGATGAGCGAGCTGAAAACACTGCTCCTGGACTAGGTATGTTAACAAATTCATATTTTCTAAATTGACCAGTTGGTGGGTTGCTTAAATGACTAGTCAACTAAACGATCTTAGGAAAGTCTTCCATAATTAGGGGCTTGAGGCTCACCTGATGTGTTTCTTAAGGGGTGTTTACATAATACACAATTAAAAACAGATAGACAGATGCAGTGGGACAGCAACATCTTTACGCAATTTTTAAAGTATTACTTGACATATCCAATAAATCAGTAATACATCATCCAACAATTGGTCAATATTAGTGAGGTTCATGTTTAATTTTTTACATTTGTTACTTTGAATTAAATTAATTAAATTGATCAAAAGTGATAGTAAAGACAATTGCAAAAGATTTATATTTCAAATAAATGTTGTTCTTTTGAATTTTCTCCATTTTTTCTCCACATTTTGGGTCCCCATGAGTTTATAAATCATGCTAATTGATGTTTTTTGAAAATGTACAAATGCAGAAAGTTTAGGGGCATAGAATATTCAGTTTGTACAGTATAAAAATCAGTGTTTATGGAAAGTCCCCATAAAACACGGAAACCCAATGTGTGCGTGTTTGTGTGCGTGTGTGTAAAATCTAGATAAATCAGTCGAACTTTGTCAAGTTGGTCATTTGAAGTCAATTAGTTGACCCATTCCTATCCTGGGCCAGGCCAGCTTTCTCAGGCAACGTCTGCTTCCTGCGTTCTGATAAGTTTCCTCAATGATCCTTTACTGTCCCATCATTCCACTGTTATTCATAATATGGAGGATTTCTGTCAGCCTCGAGATTGAGGTTGAGTGAGAGAGTGTGCTGTGTTGTAGAGACTGTATTCGTTTGCACCCACTCTCTCTTGTCAGACAACACAAGCTCCAGTAATGCCAACCACATAGTGAAATTCTGACATTTGTCTTGGAGCAGAAGATTGGCAGGTAGGTTCTTGCATTATTCATGTCTTCGTGCAGGCAATTAATGTTGGGCTGCAGGCTGCCTGTTCAGCACATTTCCACGAGTTTCTAAACGTTTTGATATTAGTCATCTTTGTAATTTAAAGCATGCTACTCAATTCATGCACTTGGAAAACTCTTAGAACCTCTCCGCAAGGGACTTAATCATCTGGACAAACAACTATGACTCAATAATGGTAACTATTCACAATTATTGCACCAGTCAAAAAACAAATAATCTTGAATGTACTTTTAAACATTTAGAGCAATTACAAACAGTCCCCCATTCAACATACTATATTGTTCCAATTACAGATGAGTTCACGTGTGCTGGAGGATATTATGAAAGCACTGGGTCTCATCCATCTTTTGCTGAAGCCGAATAAAATGATAGGGACTGGTGTACATTCACACAACCCACATACTGCCTTGCCTGCATCACCATAGTAACCAAGACGAATGCCAGAGTGCCGACATTTCGCCTGGTACAGGCAGGCGTGAGGTCAGGACTGAGAGGGGGTGAAAGGGGCAAAAGGGCAGCCCAACCACAGCCAGTAAACAAACATTTCTAAGCCATCTACCCTGTAATCACGCCACTTAGTGTGCGGGCTGTGCATAATCTAAACTATGAGTGTGGAGCTGAGGTTATGAAAACATCTTGAGATATTTGTCACAGCTGTAACTTAACTCATTTTCGTACAGCATGCCATATGGAGAGAGGGTGTGAGAATAGCGCACAATGGAGGCATCATCTGTTTATATGGATAAATCTGTGAAATACTGTGCAGTGTTCTTGAGAGTGACAGTTTTTTCAGTACAGTAAAGGCCCTTGCACACTGAGTCAGAAATTTCCGTATGCGTTTTTTAGTATTCGTGATTCGGTGGCTCTGAATTGTCAAAACTCCATTCAAACTGCTTGCTACAGATGCAAAAAAACCAGAAAATCGAACCCGATCCGTTTTTTTTTTTATGACGGACGAAAGTTTCAGAGGCGGTGTGCAAGTGCGATTGACATAACGTGAGGTCGTATTTATTTTTTAACGTGCGAAAATTTCAGACGCGAATTTCGGACTCAGTGTGCAAGGGCCTTAAGGGGGGTTAAGGAGCAAGTATGCATCTTAAAGGCTATGTGACCATTTGATCTTGGGTCACATGGAGGTCTATTTATCCGGAGTGTCTGATATCAGGATTTGGCAGTAGATGAGTGGTGTGTGTGTGGTAATGGAGACAGTGTTGATTGACTAGAGCTCAGGTGTTGGTCTGTGATGAAGCAGCTTGGTGTGATTTCCCCCTCTTGTTTTAAAGGGGTCATGAACTGAGAAATCAAATTTTCCTTGAGGTTTTTACATATAAGAGGTCATCATATTATAAGAATATCCTGAAAGTTTCAGAACTGAAAACTTCCTTGTTAGTCCAAAATCAGCTTTTATTGTTACCAGGCCCAGCGAACGACTCGTCCTGGAATGTGCCTTTCTATGACATAATAAGGTAGTGTAAGACCGCCTCTGCAGAAGAAAATCAACTGGCCCACTGGAGTTAGTAAGATGAGGAAGAGAGAAGAGCACAGGGTCACTCACTGGACTAAAAATAACATTACCTTCCAAAGGATCCTAATGCTAGGAATATGGATATTTATTTTCAACAATGTGAATGTCTCAGTTGAACATTATTTATTCCTATTTGGTACAATTCACTGGATTCTTTGGTAAATCAATCCGCAAACTCGGCGCAGACTTTTATGATATGGACGCGACGGTATTGCCACAACATGTAAGTATACCTGTTAATGCCCGACCTGTGACCAGTGATTTCTGATGTAATGATTCATGTAGTCAGATGTTCTTTGTCCTGTCAGTAAATCAAACCAGTGACCAACTTCACATTGTTTTTCTTAGTATGGTGTAAATAATATGTTATTTAAACAGATTGAATTATATATAGAAAGTGGTCAAAGAACGCTGTTTACAATAGCTGTAGCTGTCAATCAAACTGTGCGCGCTAGAGCTGTCAATCAATCAGCGACTGAGTTCTGGACTCTCGCCAAATCTCCCGTTAGAATCAACTAATCTCTTATTTATATGTTTGCACTGTTAGTTATGATAAAAGCATTCGTTAAGTGTGCAGAAATGATGCAATGACGATATCGCTGCATTCACGCGCTCAACATGTCTGTGATCGGCTACAATGCTCACCAGTCATCACTGCAACCTTTCATGCCACGATCTTAATAGTGCCATAGATCTGACTGTAATGTTAATTATTACTTTACACGATTAGTTAACCTTGAGAGCTTTAATAGTAAAAGTGTGCTAAAAGTTGAGAGTTCCACATGTAATACTAGCTATTTCATATGCAAAGCTGTTAGCCAATCACAGCAGTGGCCGTTTACACTGAAGTCTCACAGCACACGGCCCTTCAACCAGAGGGTTCAAACCAGAGGGCTAAAATCAGGGCTAAAAAAATGCCTTTTATTTCTAAATTATGACCATTTTTGAAGTAAAAATCATACTAACATTATAAGTGCAGCCCAGGAAACATTATGAAACAATAAAACAATGCAGTTCATGACCCCTTTAAAACAGCCGAAGTATAGCACACAAACAAACTTCTATATAGGAACTTGCAGTTACTTACTGATGTATACAGGTAGCCCTCACTGTTCATGGCCAGATAGAGTTTGGTCTGAACTCCCTGGATGGCCACCACTCGCAAGCCCACCGGGATGAGATTGAACATGGCTGTATAGGAAACAAGAAACGACACAATTATATTTTCAAACATTTATGCCGAGTACAGCTAATTAATTAGGATATCACTATCATGTGTTTTATATAGTAACCTATAACTCTATTTCTTAACCGATAGGTCGCAAGACCGTTTTAAGTGGGTCGCAGAATTTCTCAAATACGTAATTCTAAATGTTTTACTGAGACTTTTATTCTGAAAGGCATTCGTGAAATGCAGTTTAAGTAAAGAATGCCTGAGGAAAACGTGTCGTTCTGATTCAGTATCTGCTGTCAGATGAGTTGTTGTGAGGCTATATGTCAGTCATTATTCTAATTTCGAACATTATTTTCGTTATTCACTTTATAAATGAGATGGTCTGAGTTCATTTGAAGTGTTCACATGCATTGCAAAATTCTTGCATAGCCCCCAGAAACTAATAAAGTGCCACTGACTGAGAGGTGGACATACCACCAAAATGTAAGCAGAATGAGTCTGAGAATGCAGATACGCATCATCATCATCATCATCATCATCATCATCATCATCATCATTCTGGCCACTCACATATACTTCAACACAGCATCAAACTCACCAGAATCAGCAGACAACTAAAGCTGCACAGATAGAAACACTCTTAAAAAGCTTTAGCAACTTTCTAGAAAACCTTAGAAAAACCCTAGCAACCAGCCAGAACATCTTAGAACCACCCACAACAACCTAGCAACCGTTTTGCAATGTTCTAGGAACCACCTATCTGATGGTAACGGCCTATTTGTTTTGTTAGTAGAAAAATTGCTTCAGAGACAAAAAAAAAGAAAAAGTTATTAGGTACAGAAAAAAGGATTTTGAAACCTTTTTTTTTTTTTGGAATGATGCTTTGTTCTGGTGAAATTTAGTGTTTGAAAGATATTTTTTAAATATTATATTTAACATTACAACATTTACTTAACATTACATTGTTATTGTTAACTACAACTATTAACAACCTTTATCATTATCTTAAAAGCTGAAATAACATAAAATATACACTACCGTTCAAAAGTTTGGGGTCAGTGAGAATTTTATTTTTATTTTTTGGAGGAAAGAAATCAATACTTTTATTTATCAAGGACAGTAAAGACATTTATAATGTTACAAAAGATTCTATTTCAAACAAATGCTGTTCTTTTGAACTTCCTATTCATCAAAGAATCCTAAAAAAAAAAAAAAAAAAAAAAAAAACACTGTACAACTGACAGACCAACAACTGTTTCAACATTGATAATAATAATAAATGTTTCTTGAGCATCAAATCCTCATATTATACTGATTTGTGAAGGATCATTTGACACTGAAGACACTGACACTGGGGATGCTGAAAATTCAGCTTTGATCACAGGAATAAATTACACTTTACTATATATTCACACAGAAAACAGCTGATTTACACTGGAATAATATTTAATACTATAACTGATTTTTGTTGTATTTTTAATCAAATAAGCGCAGCCATGGTTAGCAGAAGAGAATTCTTTTAAAAGTATTTAAAATCGTACCGACCCCAAACTTTTGAACGGTAGTGTATATACCGGTATTAGATGATAAACGTAAACTTTTCTCTGAACTGCCGCCTCTTTAACATACTTCCTCGTTTTCCCTTTCACACACGCTCTCTCTCACTCTCTGTCTGTCTTGTTTCACACTCTTCCCTCTGTCTCTTTCACACATTCTCTCTCTTTTGAGCAGAGTTAGTGAGCTGCGCGGGGCTCGGGCTTCAGGGTACCACTGGCTGTGCCAACTCTCCTCACACCTTTGTCCCCCCCGTCACCATGTAAGCCATAAAGCTGACAATCTCTCCCATCCACACAGCCTCTTTCTGCCAGTGGGAAGAGTGAAGCAGCCAGCCAGCCAGCCACCCCTGACACTGGGAGTATCTGAGGAACATAAGCTTGGGAAGAAAACAGCACAAGCTTTTTGAAAGAAAAAAAATGTGTGAGCCATTTCACTGGTTATGTAACCTATCTTGATTAAAAAAAATCAAGAAGGAAACAAACATGTAAAGTCAAAGGCTGCTTTTTTTAAAGAGAGAGAGAGAGAGTAATTTTCACACATTGTGTGTGTGTGTGTGTGTGTGTGTGTGTGTGTGTGTGTGTGTGTGGCCTGGTAAACCCTACGTTATGGGGACAAAATGTCCCCACAAGGATGGCAATATCCAAAATCCTTGTTCGTGTGGGGACATTTTTTGGTCCCCATGAGTAAATCAGCTTATAAATCATACTAAGTGATGTTGTTTGAAAATGTAAAAATGCAGAATGTTTCCTGTGATGGGTAGGTTTAGGGATAGGGTTAGTGTAAGGGAATAGAATATACAGTCGGTACAGTATAAAAATCATTATGTCTATGGAAAGTCCCCATAAAACATGAAAACACAACATGTGTGTGTGTGTGTGTGTGTGTGTGTGTGTGTGTAAAGAAATCAATGCACACTGATCTAGGTTACCAAATGTATACTACTGTCTTGATATGGCAATCACACAAGATATTAAAGTACAATATTTCGAGTTAAGAATATATACTTGCATCATCTAACATCTATTCTTCATCTCTTAAATTTTTAGGTCACTATAAAAGGTCACTATAAAATGAACATTTTGTCATGTACTCAGACTCATGCAATTTAAAAGACTGGTCAACAAAAAAGCTAATTATTATGTAATTTTTTTTTTTTTAAAGAGTTTTCTTATCAACTACTCACCCTTCTGTCACTGAACCCATAAGACTTTTGTTCAAAACGCACATAAAGATATTTTTAATGAAACCTGACTGTTTTCTATCCCTCCATTGAAAGTCTATTAGAAAAAGCTATCATATAAAGAGATCATTTCACAAAACAGGGCTTAGATTAGGACAGGATTAGGCCTTAGTTCAACTAGGGCATTTAAGTAACTTTTCTAAACGTGCCTTAGAAAAAAACAATACTGGTGGTGGGAATCTTGAGACAAAATGGCACTGACTTATTTTAAAATATGTCAGTGCAAGGTGCTTTCAGTTAAAACAGCTCAAACATGTATTTTAGTCTGGGACTAGAATCAGGTGGCTTAATCCAGGTCTACTGAAGAGATACAATAGCTTTATATTTATAACGATTTAGAGTACATCAAATAAAGTAAAAGGAATCTCAAATGTTCATGCTTGAAGATGAATGAAAGTTGTTTAGAACTAAAAGTGATGGCAGAATTTAGATTTTTGAGTGAAGTATCCCTTTAAAAGAAAAATGTCCGCCAAAAAAAACATTTCTGTCAATATTTACACTCTCTTATCTAATTTAAAATCTGTCTGAATGAACAACTTTAACTCAACCCATATTCCTGCTTCCTCATTCTCCAGAGAGAACATAAACAGTAACCCCTTCTGCCTTTCATCGTAAACATGAAAGCTCTTGATTAATATTTTTTCTTTTCTGCAGAGCTCAATCGATGGCCATGTTGCTATTTTATACAACAGTCCGGAGATTTCTCCATCCCCTCTAATCCAACATCAAGGTCCTTCCTCTTCTGTCTGAACCCCTCTGACACCAGCCAGGTCCACCTGTAGAGATCAGCCCTTTTCCTGCTCTGTGCTTTACAGCCACTGAGTTCATATGAAGAGTTTTTAGATGCCAAATGCAGATGATTTAATGAGGTGTTGATTATATTAGTACTATAGGAAGATAATACTATTTTAACATCTGTATCTTTTTTATTTGTGGGATACACACATGGGCGGCACACATAACCACAGGGTTACGGCAGACTTCATTTCAGAGGGATTAGCAGAGCTTGGTCGCTGGGGGTTGTGGAGAAAAGACTCAATTACTAACACCTAATAGAGCACCTGAGCACAGAGATTTGGGAAGATCAAGAGGGCACAACAATCTTCTCTGCAAAAACACCAATATAACAACCATCAGAATTCAAAAAAGCACCTCTCCTACAGCACTGAAAACATGGGTGAAAAACCTTCATGTTCACATATAACATTACTGCCTGGTTTCACAGACATGCCTAGGTCCAGACTAAAATGCATGTTTGAGCTGTCTTAACACAAAGCAACTTGCACTGAAATATCTTAAGATGCACACCAGGAATGTTTATAGATTTTTTTCTAAGGCCTAATCCTGGCTTAATCTAAGCCTTGTTTGTGAAACCAGGCTATAAAGGATTAATTCAAAGTACTCCATACTCATGCACTTTTTTCTTCTAAAGTTATATGATAGCCCACAATTTTACAGACTGATCAAAAATAGTTTTTTTTATTTTTTAATTTTTATTATGATAAATGTTAAAATATTATGTAATCTATTTTTTTAAAGGGGTTAGTCCACCCTAAAATGAACATTCTGTCATTTACTCACCTAATTTAAAAGTAATTTTAAATCAATATATTGTTTTATGTGGAATTGTGGATGAGTGAGCAGGATGATTTTCACACCGTTTTGAAGCAAAAATTCTAGCCTACGTGATCTAGTTTTCAAAAGTCTTGTGAACAAATATTCAGTATGGGTTTTATGTTGAAGTTTGTGCTGAATACAGTGTAATAAAACTTTAGCTATGAAAATGTTATAAGTAACAGAAATAAGCACAAATGTCAGTGCATGTTAAAGTCCATGTAAAGGCAATTTAAAAAAAAAATTCTAAACACATTATAAATGTTAGAAATGTATTGCTAAAACATATTACAAAGACTGTGAACCGTGAAGTACTGAATTGTGGAGTTAGATCGTTAAACAGTTTTTCACCATTGCTATTTTCCGGATTTTCTGGGCGGGGCTAAAACAGGGCTCGATGACGCACTGGAGCCCTTGAGCTCCTGGACCCGCCCCTACTTGATGACGCACTGGAGCCCCTGAGGCTGGCCGCTCCTAACAATATTATAGAGCACATTCACATCAGTTTGCCGCTCAATCGCGAGTTACTGTCAGTACTATTATTAGTAACACAGCCTACAGATTGCTAGCTACTAGCTATGCCTTCGTCACGGAAATGCGTACTACCTGGATGCGATCACCGGATCACGTACAAAACAGATCGGTGTCCTTGTTTAAATTTCCGAAAAACGATTACATCAAGAAGAAGTGGATTAATTTTGTGAAGAGCCAACCTTGATGGAGAGCTGAGGATCACCGCCAAAACCCGCCTCTGTAAGTGATCATTTTACACGGGATAGTTTTATAAACTTTCGTCGGAGACAACTGAGACATTCACTGATAATCCGCTGTTACTGGTGAATGGGGCCGAACCGACTCCCGCCTCAGCCTTCATCCTCCCGTCGCGCGGACAACTGGTGCCATTCGGCAGTGCGTGCCCACCGTGCGAGCATACATTCCGGCTGTAGAGTTGAGTGTGGCGAGTCGACGACGGCAGCTTTCCCGCGAGTGGGCGTGGTTTCAGCGCAGCCAGCGGACACGCCCCCAGCGTTTGAGAGCAGAGATTACTGCTCATTTTTTCAAGATTTTGATAGCTTATTTTATGTACTTGCTGGCTTTTTTTATCATTCAAATTTGGCTGGGTGGCTAATAACACATTTTTCTGTGGTGTGACAAACTCAAAACACATACTTAATTTTGACTTTACAGGGACTTTAAAACCATAGACTGTAAAAAAATATGGACGTAGTGTCCGTGACGTCACCCGTAGGTTTCTGAAGAGCATTTTTGAAGCCAAAAGTGGGCAGAGCCGGCCTTCGCCATCTTGGCAGCGTGTCACTCCCAGATAACAGAAAATGGGAAAGAGGCGGGACGTGGATGGAGCTGAGGTGCCTGGTTGCTGAAACCACGCCCGCCTAGCTCGATGTGATCAAGTTAGCTCAGGCTAAGGAGCTAATGCTATATGCTACTGGCAGTACCATCGCAAGGGCAATGCCAAGTGTGCGACCGCATAGGGCCTCGCGCTAAAGTGACAGCTGACTTGATGATGTAAAGCCAATAGTTAAAGTTCACCTTTTGCCCTTCGAAATACTATAATAGTTAAAAGACATAGCTAAAAGTGAGACTATGTGTGTCGTGATGCTTTATTATTCTGCTAGTTAGAAATGTATTATGCAATAACTTACAATATTGCTCGGAGCATGTGTGTGTGACAGTGATTCATGCGCATACACATCAGTCAGCGCGGCATAGCACATCAAGTTCGTAGAGAGCTTTAGGGTATGTTTACACGGAAACGATCTGAAGAGAAAACGCAAAAGTGGCGTTGCATTATCACTTTTTATTCTGCGTTTAGACGAGTGTTATGGTTGGGAAATCCGCGTGCATATGGTGACGCAAAAGTGTGTGAAATTCGATGTAGTATGCACTCCAGGCAGCTAGGTGGCAATGTGAAGCACTGCCACACAACAACACCAATATCTTAGAATATTTTGTGCAACTGCTGAAAAGACTCTTGTATGTTTTTCAGAGCTGCTAGGGAAATTTGAAGGTCCGACGTATGGAAATAATCTGACATGTTGGTTGTTATTTTCCTGTACTGGCGCATGCATGTGACGTAAACGCGTACGCGACGAGAGCCACCGTGAGCAGATTTGCGTTTTTACCGTTTAGACGGGAACACGACGGTGGAGCGTTTTTAAGATTTCCACTCTGGAGGGTGGTTTCACTTTTTTGCGTTAAGCCCCCAAAACGCCGTTGCCGTGTAAACGAAAGGCACATCCGATAAAATATTTGTACGTTTTCACCCGGAATCTTTCTCGTGTAAACGGGGCCTTATTTAGTCCATTTCAAATTCTGATTTTGGCCGCCTCTCAAATGGGTCAAACCAAATATATTACCAAAGAGGTTCAAGTAAATACGCTAGAAACCTTCGCTCATTCAAGGATGTGCATTTATTGCATGGACAGAGAAAGCACTGACACCTGCAGGATTTCACTACGTGCACAAGGATTTCTTTTTTTTACACTAAAGCTAAATAAGCATATATAGTCTATCTTAGGGTGACCAGACGTCCCGTTTTTCCCGGGACAGTCCCGTATTTCAACTCTAATTTTAGTGTCCCGACTTATTATGAAAAAATCATGTTTTTTTATATATTATAGGTTTCGTTTTCGAAAGGCTACGTGAATATGTATGTATGTTATGTTCAAAACCGTGTAGCGCGCGCATGACAGAGAGGGAGAGAGCGAGAGACCTTGCGTGTGTGTGCCCGTGTAGCGCGCGAACGATAGAGAGGGAGAGAGCGAGAGACCTTGCGTGTGTGTGCTATAGTACGCATTAATACGCATGCGTCTTCATCAAGAGAGAGACACGGAAGGTTGCCGCTCGGTTAAAACATCTCAGATACCAGAGGGTTAATGCCAGAGAATAAGTGAGGTTTGTCCTTTGCATATCAAGCAAGTATTGTTGAGCTGCCATGGTTGATCTCTCAAGTTCCATTAAAAATTTCTTTATTTTTGAAGATGAACAAAGTCACACAGGATAGGAACAACATGATAGTAAATGAACGATGAGATAATTTTCTATTTTGTGAGAACCTTTTGAATTTTATTACGAAAGGATCTTGGATGTGTTAATTTTGGTGGTTTATCTGGATGCCTGGATAAACCTCTAAAAAGTAAATCTGAGTAAACTTTTATTGCTCGTTTAGAGAAGCATTTTGGCATTTCATTCAGATGTTAGATTTCAGTTTATTATATTTGGAGATAAATCAGACTGATTAGAATACGACTGTGACTGACTGAAAAACACATCAGCCTACTCTATAGACGGAAGACGAGTTAGCAGAGATAAAAACTAATGTTGACGGAGAGAAAGGCCTCCTGCCACGGCACATTGATTAGGAATTGAATTAAGCTCTAAAACTCTGCACAGAGACATAATCCAATATAGCAGCCATACCTGACATTTACTGCCCAGAATGAGCTTTTGTCTTGTTCCTCCAAAGAGCTCATCAGAGTCAGACTTGAGAGATGGAAAGGCTGATTTTCAATAAGATCTTTATGTCCACTTTCCAACCCCCTGACTAGCCCAATTTCATATAATAAAATCAAATATGATCCACCGTTAGCAAATGGGAATGGGAGCTTCTCATTCTCGCTGTCATTTCTCACGCAGTTAGAAAAACTTTTATTTTTTATTTTTTTATGTAAAAGGATTTCCCAACCCCCATTTTTTATAGCATGACTTCAGGGCAAAAATAATTAGTATTTGGCTGAGATCTGCTGTAAACACACTTAAAACATGGCACTTATGTGATATTTAAGTGATTTAAGTGAAGCAATGACATAACTTGGCACTTCTCTGAAGTGCAAAGAACAACAGTCAAAGAGATATGGTAAGAGGCATACATCAAGAGAGTAAAGACAGCATTGGAGCAGACCCTCATCCCTATCACACACACACCAAGAGAAGAGCCAAGAGGACTGCACTGCGTCGCTATGGAGACAAGGGCACCAAGCTCCTAACAATTCTATTTTTGTAGTGTGAGAGATAGAAGCTCCCTGTTTTCCCACTTCTCCTCTCCAGCGACAGCTTTTCATTCTCTCCACAAAATAAGGGAGTGTGGTGGGAAAAGCAGGTCAGCTTCTATTATCTAATCTCACCCCTATATAACTCATTTTACCTTACAGTCAATCACACAGGGGAAGAATACAGACAAGAAAATAAATGAGCATGCAATGAAAGAGGAGTGGCCAATTGCACCAGTGCAACTCAAGGGTGAATAAAACATGTATACTTGAGTCAAGCAACCTCTATTTAAATTCAGGAAGGGGGTGTTATTACAATTAGCATGGCTCTTCATGTTAAACATTGTTTACAAATTTGTGTTAATCTAGATGAGCTTGATGGATGAGAGGATTTGGAGCCTTGAGTTATCACAGTTCCAAATGACTCCGATCACCACAAACTCATTTGCTCAATATGAGCATCATCTTCACCCAGTGACTAATTGAATAGAGTCAAGCTAATTTACAGGCCCCAGAATGCCACAGACACTTAGCGTCAGTGAGATATAGCACATATTAAATTAGAGCCCTGCCAACCAGCCAGCCGGCTCCTATACGCAGTATAGCTCAAACACTGACTGGGCACTTGCCTACGGACTAAATAATTCACACTTGCAGGTGCCCAGTAAGATGACTTCAAATGGCACAAAACAATTTGTGGATGAAAGGGGAGAAAAAGTTGTTTCTCAGGCATTATGGACATCTGCCTAAAATGTTTCTCTTGTACTTGGGCTTTCCAGCTACATTAACTGTGCTCTCAGAATAATTGTTTTCTGAAGAATGGTAGTTTTATGCGACTGCTCCTGCTGAATTTTCCATTTCAGGTCAGGATAATACAGAACTGAGCCTCTTGACTCTTCTGACCAATACAGGAACTGAAAAGGTATTCAAAATTGAAAAGCAAAGCTGAAGCTGTCTATAAGTGTAGGTATAAGGCAGAAATTAAGTCTGAAGGAAGAGTGTGCAGGAATAAATAACAACAGCAGCTGTCATTGAAATACAATACCAGGCACACAGAGGCCCAAAGAAAATAAAAATTGGACACTTAAGTCACACTTCCAAATGTCTGGATGTTATCGCATTAGATGCAATATCTCAAACCAAGTGGCATCTGCAAATAAATGATGCAAGACCAGAACCAAGAGCCATTTCTGTAATTACTTTTAACCAACTGGTCTAAGGAAGTATGAAGTCAGTGTACTAGCTGAGTAACTATGGACAAATGCTTTTTTATTATTTATTCTAAACAGTAGGCTATATTTGTTTTGCTGTATCATTTGAAACCCAAAAAACATTTGCTTGAAAAGTCTCTATATTTCTTTTAAAATGAAATGCCATTTGGTTTGACGCAAAAACATTCATAAATCAAAGTGTCCAAATACTTTTTTGGGGGCCACTGTATCAACCTATTAATCTGGTACTTCCTTGTTTCCAACACTGAACCTCAAGCTGTGCCTGGATAGGTGAAAATCTGAAAACATATTCTGACAAGATGCCAGCTGACTTACTGAAACCACTGTCCTCCTCTTTAGTGCCGTCAATGGTTCCATCTGCTTGGAGTTGCAAATGAAAGCCCTGTCGACTGTACAGCTTTGTTACGATCCCCTTCAGCTGGGGCTCTGCAAAGAGACAGAAGGTAGAGAGAGAGAGAGAGAGAGAGAGAGAGAGAGAGAGAGAGAGAGAGAGAGAGAGAGAGAGAGAGAGAGAGAGAGAGAGAGAGAGAGAGAGAGAGAGAGAGAGAGAGAGAGAGAGAGAGAGAGAGAGAGAGAGAGAGAGAGAGAATGAGAAAGAAGACAGGGTTAAACAGGCATTGCCACAGTGACAGTGTTAGGGGCTTCAAAGCTTCTGGCTCAGCAAGAGCATTCCACAGATTTGAGCCTGCATGCATTACAAACAACAGTCCACACTGACAACAGCAACAAAAAATAAAGATTTCAACGTTGTTATAGCTAGTCACCTGAGTCACCACACAGAAAATTGGTAAGAGCTGCAATTTGCAAAGAAACTGCAGTCTTCTGGCCATGACAAGTATTCATGTGAATATGTAGATGAACAGAGAAATATCATTTTAAATGGATCTGATCTGCATCACTAGAACTAATAAACATATATAGGACACAGCTCTCCTGCGCAAAATACCAGATTGCAATTGCATTAGCAGATATGTAGTTAATCAGGGTTAGTAAGTTGGTGGATCATGCTCTTAACACTGATTAACTTTCATTTATCATAGGAGATTAAAACATGTGTGGATATTAGGTTACATCTAATAATGCAAACTATAACACATACCCTACATTTTAGTCAAGAAAACACAGAGAATCTGAATATTTCAAATAAGCCTATTAAATACCAATTCAGAATAAACCAAAATAAACTACCATACAGATGCTATAATATGGTACAGTATAGATACAATACAAATGGCTCAATAAGGGTGTGAAAGAGTATAGATTTGCAGACTCCTCAACATATCAAACGTCATGTGTATATGAAAACATGTTTAAGTTCACATAAAGAAGCACATTCATGTGAGTGTTAGTCCATGTGTATGTGAACACGATTGTTAAGCATGAGACTGTTTAATGAAGACCGAATCACTGCTGTAAACAGCTGCTACTCTACACAGTACACACACAAACGTCCACACTTCTGCTAAGGTGTCACATAAGGGTTATGTAAGATGCTGTCTGGGGAGGACAGCAAGGTAATTGAGACTATGACAAGCTTGTAAGTAAACAGTTGTGCTGAATGTGTGTTTTAGATAGATAGATAGATAGATAGATAGATAGATAGATAGATAGATAGATAGATAGATAGATAGATAGATAGATAGAGTCCATGTCAGGCAATAACCTGCTTAGTTTGCTTTCTATTGTCCCTCTGTATCTGAAGGGATTAAAAACTCTAGAAAGCTGACACTGAATCAGCATCAACATCATTGCAACACAATGTCTGCAGAGTAACAAAAAGTTATATACAATAATGTCTTTTTTTTTCTCAGACAAATGATCTGGTCAAAATGCCTGACAAGTTCTGTAAGGTCATATAACGGAGTTTGAATGAGCTCTCACAATGAAGTGCAAGCACATGCTGGCTAAATTTTAAAACTTGCAGTCTGACTTAAGCATAGCAAGCACTTCGTTTTAAAATCCAAATGTTTTGAAAAGTACAGACACAAAGGCATTGATAATGATGGCAATTCTGTTATACAATGGCCGTATTAAGATAGGACATTAACAAAGGTAACATCAGACCTGGTCGTCGTCGTCTGCGCTTTTTGGAGCCGAACAACTTGACCCTGGAGAAAACACTGAGTCGACTGGGTTTCTCGCATGTTCCTTTGGTTTTGTTCGGACTGCTCACGCAGCGGCAGGCGTTGGATTTCTCACGCTCCCTTGCCTGCCTCTTCTGCCGAATCAGGGAGCTGGCGATCGCCGCAGCCATGGCCAGTTTGACGGTGCGACAACCAAAACTTTCAGAGGACACTATCCTTTTCCCCACTTACTCCACAGCACGATTTCTTAAGGGGAATCTTTAACTTAACAGCTCACATCCAAGTCTTCATACACCAGAGACCACCATCGTGACAGATCGTCAGAAAAGAGTTTAAAACGGCTTTAACACAAAACAAAATTATGCAGGTGACGGCGCATCTCTTCAACGCTCATTGTTTTCTTCGGAGATAAAGTCCTTAGACGGCTCTACATTCAGTTGCCTGAGGTCTTACCGCATCTGTCTCTTGATAATGTCACTACCTTGCCATTTCGACTAACAACGGAGATGTTCCTCCAGACACTGAACACGTTTCGCAGCATCCCACGACGAAGCAGTCAGTCACAGCCTCAGCACAGAACCATGTGAAAGAAACACCTGTTAGCGAGCGCGATTCAGCGCTCTTGTGTGCGCGCGCTTTGAATGTGTGGGCGTGTGAGCGAGAGTTTGTTTTCAGTTAATCATCTGAATCCGTTTGTAATGTAGACCCAGACAACTACAACGAGAGCGAAAAGTTTCTAGCAAGTCTTAATAGTATATGAATCATGGCAAATGCGGGAAAATAAATCACTCAATGAGAGGACAAAAACAGTTGTTCAGTTTTTTTTTTTGTGGTATGTGATTAAGTCCTACTCATTTATAC